ATATATATATATATTCAATTGAAGGTGATAGTATTAGAATCAAGGTTAACCATATAATCTGAATTAATTTCTGCATATCCAACTCGGGATATTAATACTTTGTTCTTTACATAAAAACTCTAAATAATAAACAGATAAAAGATAAATATTTTTTTTCACACAGTCACAGCAACCAGCAAGTAGATTTATAGTCGATACAAAAAAAAAAAAAATTTGACACATTAATATTAAATCAAAGATCGACAACAAGACCACAATTGAATATAGCAGGCATTGGAGTTCCATGGAAACTACTTATGCTGGAGCGATCGTTGTTACTGCTGCTTCAATCTGTCCCCATGGACGAAAGAACAGCAAGGAACAAAGGAACCACCATCACAGAAACACTTTGATCTAACCACAGTGGCTTGTTGTTGTGATGAAACCTTACTTGGGCAAACTTGTAATGGAAGGCTGTTGCTTGACATCCTCAGATCTCTGGCCCTCAACAGCCACAATGGAACCTCGAGTCAAATTGTCAAGAACTACAGCCTCTTCATCCTTTTCCTTCTGCCGCTCATCGCTGGCCTCCGCGACTTGGGCACCTTCCTCATCCTTCTTCCTCTGTCTGTACAAACAGATGCAAAAAAAAAAAAAAGTTCAATCCTCTAGAAGAGAATTTGATGCAAAAAGAACAGGATCCTGCACGATAAATACACTGAATAAATCACGAGCCCAACTGCAACAGCCGCAAAAGCTATGAAGTACATCCAGTCAACCTGGAGGGACATGAAATTGCTTTGTCATATAAACCTTGAACTTTTCACTCAAGTAATCGTAGGAATTCCAACAATATTAACCTTCTGGTGATAGGCAAAAATGCGGATTAGAACAGCCCACATGTCTGAGGTCAGCAGCGAAAGGTTGAGCAACGTTGCTCCACATATCTGCAATGAAAGAATTACCAAGTGGAAAATATGACTTGAAGCAACAAATGAGGTTGATTTCTCCCTTCACCAGTTCTACTTAATTCTATGGCTAACTATTTCAACCGGCAGATTGCTGAGCAGGTACATAACTATCTGGAAGTAATTTCTGATTTGGCAGCAAATTCTGCCCACTCACTTTTGTGGCAAAGTTAAACTAAGAGATTGCTCCTGGTACATAGGATTAAAGTGGTGATCAATTTTGCTGGAGAAGGATGTCAATTTGGTATTAACAATATGTTGGAACAATTCTTCAACTTTAGTTTCCATGTTTGCAATTCATCAGACATGTCCATCTAATCAATTCTTTGACTTGAAAATGAGCTAGCAAATATCAACTTCAGCTAAAACCAAGATCCAGAAATCGAAACAGTCCATTCTCATCCTATGATGGCATATGTTTGATCAATGTACTTACTTTTTATCTTGTAAAAGGATCTTAATAGTCTTTATCACAAAATATAGGTGATGATGCATTGTGTGACTGATACACATGCTCTGATCCTACCTTAAGAATGACGGGAACAGTTGAGTAAAACAAGAACATCGCCATTGCAAATCCAAGAAATGGTAGCACCTGAAATCACATGTTCAGAATAAAGTTATTTGACATACACAACTAGAAAATAATATCTCTAGTTCTCTACCATATTTTGAAGAAATGATAACTATGAAACACTTCATAATTTCAGTTTCAAACTAGTTGCAAATTCAAAAATATGACCAAGCCATCATGAGGTTATCAAAATATCACCAAACTATAAAAAGTTCAAAGTCATCGATGCCGCGATGTTCCTTCCAAACAAAAAAAATAAACCAAGACAAATAAGACATTAATATCATGTATTCATCAAGACATATAAAAGGAAAACAGAGGTGAAATAACCTAAAGAACACAATAACTGGTATGGATCTCACAGGTATGAGAGTCTATAACGGTGATCCCTGTGCAAACAGTCTCAAACTAGAACAATATAAATCACTATGAGCTTGTAAGATTCTTTCAATCAGGCAATGGACAGGTTATTCAATTATCCTTGCAAGTGTTTCTCTTTTCCCAACCTGCTGGCTCCCATAAGTGTTTCTATAACTTCTCAACCTGCAGGCTCTGCTTTCCTCCTCAAAACTGCAGATGGTGAACACCTTTGGTTAGGGGGCAACTGCTGCAAAGCATCGAGTCCTTTGATGGCAGAAACTATCGCTCTTTTGGAGGGACTCAAAGCTATCCAAGACCTTCATTTACCCTCTATTGAGATCAATACAGACTCAGTGGAGGTTGTCAATATTGCAACGGGAATTACTCCTGTTCCCTCGTCCCTACAGAACTTATTCATACTTTCTCTTTTTGACTCTCTCCATGTCATCTGCGTTATCCGCATTCTCAGGTCAAGCAATTTTGTTAGTCATTCTTCGGCACATTATGGTAGATCATAGATCCCTTGTTTTATGTTTTCTGCTGCTGATCGATCAATTCTTCAGTTTGTAACACAGGCTTAAATCAATAGATCTCTTTTTTACAGAAAAAAGGGTTTCTTTTTCCCCAAATGGCACCAACATTGACCTTTCATCTTCAACATGACATGGATTAGACTGAAAGTTCACAAACTCCAGGTACTGAGACAGGTTCACACTAAACAAGCACAGCAACTTTTACATAATTGGGCAACATATAAAAAATAATGCTTTATTTTTCAACATCTACTTGCATCTTTGTTTCAACTTCTAGTAATGTCTTAAAAAACAAAGGATATAGCAGCATCGTTGGAAGTTGGCACATGCATATTTTACTTCAATCAAGTACTTTTTCATATCCAACTTTTGGCTTAACTAATGGGCAATGCTTGGAACTTGTGCTAGTAAAGAACATAAATGAGAACTAGGCTTCACAATTAACAACCAAAGTTGGACTTTTATGTCAGAGACAAGGTTCGCAATACCGTACCGTACCGGTATTTCGACCTGGGCTCGGTACCGGTACGGTACGGTATATCGAGCGGTACACCCAGGTGTACCAAGTACTATAGCACTGTAGCACTGCTACAGTGCCTCGGACCGATAACAGTCGGTCCGCGTACCGAAAACCTATCGGACCGGTACGTACTGCCCGTACCGGGCAGTACGGCTCGGTACGGCAGACCCTGGTCAGAGATCCAATAAATGAGGTTCTATATTGGTGATCCACAAATCCTAAATGTTCTTAGTGAACTTTTTTGACATCAAGTATATAGCATTTAAGCAAAACTTCAGGTATCTCTTAGCCATCCATGAACTTGAACCAAAACGAAGATACATAAGTGTAACATAAATTGTTTAAATTCGTTAGAATTTGACTAAGTTGTATTTAAAGATGGTTAGATCAAAATCAAAATTGGATCTTCAAGTAAACTTTTAATGATGCATTTGGGAGTTCTATTCATTTTAGGACAGTTGTTATATATGTATAGGACTCCAGAAATTGTCTTTTGGCCACAGGTAGATTGGAGATTACATGTTACTTTGATTAATTTGGACCAGAATACTGGATTTCAAGCATAGGGGGTCTATGATTAGATCATTACACTTAATCCCAAAAGTTTGAAAGGTGATATTTACTCTGAGCAAGCATATAAACTGCAGGATGATCTACCTAAGCAGAGGTTCCTGTGCCTTGTCTTGTTGCATGTGTTGGACAAAATTCAAGTGTTCCAGTTGGAGGGTAAAGAAGCTACATAGGGGACTTTGGTGGACGATAGAGATTTCAGGGATATGAAGATGAAATCAAGTAAGAGGCAGCTAATATTCTTAAAATTTAAAAAATCATGTCAATTGATTTCAAGTTCAGATGTATAGCATCTCAGCCATGATCTTTGAAAAGTATTCCACAGTTTTCTAGATGCATTAGGTTATACAAACTACAAAGGGCTGCTGTACATCTATATTCAGGATCTTGCAAGTACTAATATTGATCATGCAAGTTCGTTCACCACCAAGGCATAGCAACTTTGTAATATCAATGTGGTCACAGAATTAGATGAAATGACCAATAAAAATTGTTCAAAATAAAATCTTTCTCAGTTTATGCATGTTATGCCAAAAAAGCTGCTAGCTTTCATATCTTCAGTTGTGTCTAAATTTGATAAAATCACAGCTTCCTTCCAGACCAGGATATGCATGATTACATGAATTACCACAAAAGTACTTAAAGAGAATAAATTGTGCATGTGCATATGCAAATATTCTTACAAAAAAAAATTGTACAAAAAAAACTCATATGTACAACTGTAGCTAAGGTTCAAACATCTAATATCCGTTCATCAAGAATAAGAAATACAAACAAAATTGTACATAAATGCATGTGCATGTGCACGCACACGTGCGCACACAAGCGCACACACAGAGAGAGAGAGAGAGAGAGAGAGAGAGAGAGACTTACTGCACCAGCTGTCCATTTAATATCTTTAAGTTCACTGCACTCAAGTATGCTTCTAGGAGTAATTTAAGAAAATCAGAAAATTAAATGTGAACCTCAGAAAATCAAAGTCGAAATCTTTCTATGTTAGCACTTTGCATCATAAAATTTCTGACATGGTAAAACTAAGATGCAAAAGCTGTCTTCTATGAATCTGACTACCAAAGTTTCAGCTTACTGGGTTTTGGAAATGATCTGATTAGGCAATCTAAACATTAACAAAAACATGAGTTTTTTGGCCCGAACACCACAGTATATAGTATATAGTAAGGTTTTTAATTTTGTACCATACTAACGTTTTGAGCTTTGCTCGATACGGTATGGTACGGGCGTACCGAGCAATATGTCAGGATGTACCACTCGATATGTATATATATTAATATATATATAATATTAAAAAAAGGAGGTGTATGCTGCCTCGACGACATCACCTCCTTTTCTTCTCCTCGTCGCGTCAGATGAGGAGAACACGGTCTTCTCCTCGTCTGCGACGTTCGGCGAAGACGTCAAAGGTCACAGACGTCTCCAGCCTTCGGTGTGACGCGATGAGGAGAAGAACGTGGCCTTCTCCTCATCCGCAGCATTCGGTGAAAATGTCGAGGCCACAGATGTCTCCGGCCTTCGGCACGACGCGACACAACAAGGAGAAGAATGCGGTCTTCTCCTCATCTGCGGTGTTCGGTGAAGACGTCGAAGGACGCAAATGTCTCCGACCTTCGGCGCGACGCAACGAGGAGAAGAACGCAGTCTTCTCATTTGCGGCGTTCAGCAAAGACATCGAAATCGAAGGTCGCAGACGCCTTCGGCCTTTGGCGAAGAATGTGGCAAAGGCCGCAAGCATCTCTGGCCTTTGGCGAAGGATGCGGCGAAGAAGAAGTCAAGTCGTTGCCTCTCCGTTACCTCCTGGATCGAGATCGTTGAGGGAGGGTGGCGCCGGATCGAAAAGCGTCGAGGTTCTCCCAATTCTCCCTCTTCTTTGAGCGCCTTCTTCCTCGACACTTCTTCTTCCCTCGCCGCAGCCAGACTGATACCGCCCGGTAGCGAGCGGTCCGTGTACCGGTCTTCGGGCGGATTGATACGTACCGCCCGTACCGAGTGGTATTATTCGAAATTAAAAACGTAAGTATATACAAATAGAAGGATATTACCTAGTGACACATTTTCTGCCTCTTGCTATATGAAGGATCAAAGTAGAACCAGAAATGCTTGTAGTCATAATCGATTTTAAGAAACTTAGCTAATATTTCGCAAGTCTAAACACTTGCAGCACTTAATATTGAGATTCTGATTGAATTTTCAAATAGATGTGAACAGATAAATAGAGGCTTGCTAGTGCAATTAGCATTCTAGAATATATCATGCAGGCACAAAGAGACCAAGGATACATTTGAATAGCACTAACAACTGCTCCAAATGCTCCAAGCATCGCCATCAACTCAACTCTATCGGCCTTCTTAATGATAAATTCCTGAAAAATGTTAAAAACAAGATGAAAATGTTTCGTTCAGAATAAATTGTTCTGTTTAACCTCAAAGGAAGCAAGTACAACAACACAGGAGTAATACTAATTCTACATCCCAATCTGATAAAAAATTCAAAAATTTAATATTTATCATGGAAAGAACTGGATTTTCCTGCTAACTTAATGAATCTCTATCTTCAAAAGATATGATAAGCTACAATTCTAACCCCAGAAAACCATGTACAAAGTTGATCACCTTGCTACTTTTTATAATTGCAGTTCTTGCAGACTACTAGAAAGATCCTGCATACAACCTATTCCCATCAATTTGCAGTTGGCTACAGCAGGGTCTGCCGTACCGAGCCGTACCGCCCGGTATGGGCGGTACGTACCGGTCCGACAGGTTTTCGGTACGCGGACCGACTGTTACCGTTCCGAGGTACTGTACCGTACCGGTACCGAGCCCAGGTCGAAATACCGGTACGGTACGGTATTGCGAACCTTGGCCTACAGTATGTCATAAAAATCAAGGCTCTATCAAACGACAACTTTTTCAATTACCATCAACCTAATGTCAACCAGCGAGATCGAGAGACTTTCATGAAAACCAAGTAACTATTTCACAAATAAAAATGATCTACCTTATTCCAACTTATGCGATCTACTAAGTCTCACTAGAGCTAGATGCCTATAGAAGAAAGGCTAAGCGACAAACTTTATCTCTAAATAAATGTTAATCTTGTAGACATGGAGAATAAACACCCCTCATAGTAGATATTAGGTGCACAAATAAGATAAGTAATTTCATTTCCACTCAAGAGGGAATAATAAATTTCCTCAAGTTACTAAAAGAATAGTTCAGAAATGATGCAGCAATCATTTCAGAACAGAAAAAAGGTTGGAGGTAGCAATTCATGCTGATAGTCCTGAGTTTATATCATGACTATATTTGTAGAACAGCAAAAAGGTGGCTTCCAATATTAAACAAGGTCATAACAAGAGTGTTCACCTTGAAAATAAGTGTAGGAAAACAAGCAAGGTACTTGAAGCCTATCTCTCTTAACTATTGCATGACACCAAAAGGGGAAAAGTCCAATCCTGTTTTTGATATACAATAAAAGAAACCAAGAACCATCGATTTGCCTTTTCTCTCCCTACTTTTTCTTAACCTGTACAATGTTTTCCAATCTCACTCCACATTTTTTTTTCTCATTGTAGTTATATAATAAATGATCAAAGAACATGAACCATTCAATGAATGAACCATGAACCAATGATTAAAAATAAATGAGATCAAGTAATTAGCAGCAATTACAAATACAGTAGTTCACTTCACCAAGCCATGTTCATTGCCAACACAGTAAGGGGAAAAAAGGGATCATCATTAACAAGTAATATTCTCTATAAATGAAGTTATATATAAAAGTATTCAAAGTAATGGATGATAAGCTAGGAAGCTTTGATAAACCTAGAAAAGAAAAGCTTTCTTAACAATGAAGGGAAACATAAAATGCATACCTCACCAACATTACTAACTGCATATAATGTAGATCCAACAATGACAAAGATATCACCTTTGACAGGGTTCGGTCCTCCTGCGAACCATAGAATAGGGATAAAAAATGAGAGCAAAAACATAAATTTATCCATGACAGAATAAAAGTTTTGAGCTCATGGTATGAGTTAGAGAAAATTTAAGATAAGTTCCAGATTTTTTTTTTGTACCAACAAAAGGCTCTTATAAGAAAGATGTCAAATGTCGCAAGATGTAAGCATGTTGTGTCATTCTTTAATTTGTTAAAAATAAGACGTGGGCTATTGCATTATATTCAATAATATCACGTGTACATTAACAAGCTAGATTAAAAATAAATTTATATTTTAAAATAAATTGTAATGACGAAATAAGCTTGAAAAAAGAAAGAACATGCACCTAACTGAAACTACCAATTCCCCACTTGAAAAAAAAATAAAAAACTGGTGACACTGATTACCAAAACTGGTATCAGACAGACATTTAAACCAAAGTCACCTATACAACCACAAACTTCGCTTAAACATTTTATCCTCAATGTAGATTCTATACTATGCCAAGTTATTTCTCGTTTTTGTTTTTATTTCATAAGCGATGTTCTCCACATTACCATTTTCGTTACAATGCTATAGGATATATTTTGTTGCTTTCATCAATTATCGAATCTATGCCTAATAGTAAAGGTTGTGCATGTCTGATACAGAGGCAACAAACTAACTGAGACCAGATTAGTCTATTGGTCTATGTTAGTCTGTTGCCTTTGTATCAGACATGTACAACATTCACTATTTAGGCATTGATTCAATAATTAATGGTAGCAACAAAGAAGATACTATAACATTGTAACAAAAATGATAATGTGAAGAACATTGCTTATGAATAAAAACAAAAATGAAAAAGTATTTGAAGATAAAATGGTTCAGCTATGTTTGAGGTTGTAAAGGTGACTTTGGTTTAAATGTTGGTCGGATACCAGTTTCGGTAATCAGCACCAGTCTTTTTTTTTAAGGGGGAGAATTTAGTAATATCTTTTACATCCAAATACTACTTCAGAACAGCAAAATTCTAAGCTAAAACACAAGTCATGACTTCCAATCATAATTGGATTTCACACATTCAGACACTAAATTTGACTACAACAAGAAGATAGGCAACTCCTTGTACCATCCAAGACAATAGCGACACTATCACAACTAGAATAGAATTGCAGAAAGCAGTTAGCATCAAGTTACCTTCTGCACGGTCACTCGCATGAACATCTGAGAACACAACCATTACAAGTCCAGCAACACAAATAGCAACACCAGCAAACTTCCTAAATCCATATTTTGTCTTCAAGAACACCCATGTGAAAAGTATAACACATGGAATTGACCAACAATCCAGAAGCATGACACTTGTCAAAGATGTGTACTGGTAGGCCTTCACCACTATTCACAAAACAAAAAAGTTTAGGTATATTCACAATTAAATAATCAATTAAATGAATAAATTAAAATTTATCTCAAACATTAAAAAAGCTACAACACTTGTTAGTTAATACATTAAATAAGCACCATAACAAAAACCAAACCGTCTCTCATTTTAATGCAAGTCAACAACATGAAAAATATTCCACAATGCCAGTTTAGGTTGGGAAAATTTCAAAATTGCATAAATCTACCCTGTCAGGACCCAACTCATTTACAATTGTGTTACCAAACTCAACTGTACCAATACAGTCAAGTTTTTGTTCAGATTCAAGTCTCCCTGAGTAAAATCCACTACATTGGATTACAGAAAAAAGTGCAATATAGATAAAAGCAGAGTGAGGATTGTATGGAAACAGAGTTTTGGAGACAGTATAATGATGGTAGCATGGTGCTGATGGTTGAGAGGTGAGGAGAGCTTACCTGACAAGAAAAGACAATGGGAAGAGTTCAGATCTTGCTGACGTCAATTTTGAGGTCATTGAAGCTAGAACAGCTAGAGAACCAATGAGCATTCATCTGGTTTTCTTCTCCATGATTTTAGTTTATAAGCTATAAAAATTAGATCAAACTGCACCAATAATTAGATCAATACAAGCGCCAAACATGTTGCCCTGGCAGGTTCAGGTTTTCAGGTGGTATACCTGAACCTATCCCCTTTATCTTTGGAGTGAATTTTAATGACCCTTACTCACCCAAATCTATCTATTTCAGACAGTATGGGGCTGCTTGTGTGTTCTAGCCAAGTACTACCATTGATAATTGTGATCATGAGTTGTTACCAGAACTCATGGTCATCAGCAGTGTTAACTCGATCAATCCTGATTGACAGTCCCCATAAGATATAGATGTAAGAAATTGTTAACCCCATAAAAGAAATAATAAACTCAAGCATGCTGGTTAAGGACCAACATTTATCATAGAAAGCTACATCATCCACTCAACAGATAATTGTTTTTGTGTATTAATAACAAAAGCTACTCACCAATAACATTGGCTTCCACATCAACAACAGCAAGCACCAGATAGTAGTACCAACTTAACTGCACAAAAGATCAAACAAGGTAAGAATTATTATCTTTTTGTTAAAGCAGAAGCTAATGTCAAACTTGTCAATGTAACAAAATTATGGTAAGAGCCAAAGAAAACATAACAAGCTAGTATAAAATTCAAAGGGAACGATTTCTTTCTAGAGGGAAGGATTGTTTGTTTAAAATTACAGTATAAAGTCATGTTCATTGCTCTCGGCTGGTTGGATAAAATACGCCTAGCATTCACTCCAAAGGAAATATGCAAGTCAAAGGAGAATAATTCTTAGCATGTGTGCAGTCAAGATCATAAAATCCAAAAACCACTTGTTAGCCAAGACTAGTTAAGATAGTTGTCACCTATCACATAGATATGCACATTCCCAATCCTTTGCTCGACTCTAGTAGACACACAAAACGATCCTGATTATGAGTAACAGATGATCAAGGAACTAAGCTAATGGTTGCCATTTCAAGAACTAATTCTTGTAATGCTCAAACCTATGAACCACCGACACGCCAATTCGATGGGTGTATCTGTTCTGACACGACCAAACACATGTCCGACCTATGTCTGTTTTTATTAATTAATTTATTTTATTTTGGACACTGCATATCCGTGTCACACGTGCACCCTTCCTCACTGCTCAGCGGCTCGCGTGTGGTGCTGAGTTGCATGGACGACGACCTGCTCCTCCTCAGCATCACTGACAACCACCGTCGCAACTTCACTCCCCTCCTCAACTTCCCTTCGTTCATCGACTCCATTCGCTTCGGCATGTGACTCAGCGACAACTACGTATCTGTGCCTTTGGCGTTCCTCCACGGCTTCCACCCACGACAACACGAAGGGCACCCCCGTCGCCAGGTCGTAGCACAGGATGAGCATCGGATTCAAGGCGTCCCGCAGACACGTGTCACCCTATCCGTACCATGTCGTATCCGTGCTTCTTAGGCTCAAGCATGCAGAAACATGAAAAAAATAAAGGATCAAAGCAAACACCCACCTGTACAATCGAGAGAAGACTAAAAAACAAGTATTCCGGACACTACAGAACAATCAACTAAAAGGGAAGATGAAGCGAAGGCAGGGAGTGATCACAGCACCTGGAGCGGCCGTTTTCGGCGGATAACAAATGCGCCGTAGAATGTCGCGAGGAGTAGGTAATTCAAGAAGGACTGTGACGTCGGAGCATTCACGCCTGCATCCCACCACGACGAACCATTTCAAGAAACCACGAGTCAGAAAAAAAAAACTCCTTTGTTATGTTTTAACGAAATCAACAACATCGAAACGGGGAAAAGAGTAGATGATGTTAAACGACAACGACCCATTTCAAGAAACCACATCGATCGAAATCCCACCTTTATTGTATTTTTACGAGGAAGAAAAACCCTAAGGAAAGATGATAGCATCGAAAGAAGAGGGAGGAGAGAGAAAGGAAGGGACCTCTTCTAGCGAGCTCGGAGGAGGAGAAACCGGTGGAGGTGATGAGAAGGGACACGATCTGGCCCAGCACCAACCCCATCAGAGCCCGCTTCGTCCATACCTTCTCCCACTTCTCGCAAACCGAGCGGCGCAGCGACTCGGAACCAACGATCGGCATGGGCAGAGAGAAGCAGAGCCCCCTGCCTCAGCGCCCTCCCCACACTTCCTCTACCTAAAAACAAAAAAAAAAGGATTTTTATCACACAGGACACTGTTATATACACAGATCTAGCTCGGCGGCGAACCGGAAGCAGGGAAAACGACCCCAGAACAACATCGAAAGCGATGATTGCATGAGTAACGTTGACGTTCCGCGAAAAGCGACGGATGATGTGAACCGTTGGGAGCCGAAAACCGCAGAAAGGAAACCATTAACAAATCGCAAAATCGAAGGATGATGGTGATGTGATGATGAGAAAGATCCCAAAAATTGGAGGCTCTGAGGTTTCGTGTGAGGATGAGAGGCGAAAGGCGGCTGCTTTAGAGTGCGGAGGGCATCATCATGCTGGAGTTCTTTTTCCGTGTAAGGATGGGAAAAAGGGTGTGCGAGCGAAAAGACCGGAGGGGGTTTGTCACCGTTGAGTAGATTCTGATGGAAATGGCATATCCTATTCCACCTTCTGTGATCACACTGATTTCAACCGTTCATCAGAATAGACGGGATTTTGATCAGATATCGTATGACAAAAGTATTTAGCAACCAAATTAGTGATCAGATGAAATATATCGAATGAATTTTTCTCTTTAATTTTCATTACAAAATAGTTTTTTTTTAGATTTTTATTTATATTTACAATCCATACTATACTCATCGATTAAATCTCGTCCCTATGCAAAATTAGAAATTTCACTTAAAATAGGTGCTCATGTGATATTCATAGATTATTAGTATAAACATTATTTAAAATTAATTCAATTTATTTTTAATTTAAGTTTAGTTTTTAAAAAAAATAAATTAAATCGATTTGATCCGTACCACAACATACCACTGAATATGGATAATATGTACTGATTCAATGGATGACATTTTATATATCGTATATCGTTATATTTAAAATGATCGATTAATACATATCATATCGATAATTAATTGAAGAATAATATTATAATTTACGAGTTAAAAGTCTGAAAGTGGCCATCACAATCAACAAATAGAGTGCATCTATAAAGGAATCTTTGACCCTATTCATAATTAAATGGTTAAACCGATAAGTTCTCAATCTTAGTTTACCAAAAAAATAAAACTAAAAAAGGAGTAGCATATTTATTCCTACAAATTTTAGTATAAAATATGTGACCCTCAAAAAAATAATTTATTCCATGTTTATTTAAGTAGACTATGACTAATCATGGTTATGGTTATTAATATGAATCTAATATCATAACAAAGCTTAAAAGTCATCAATACCAATTCTATACTCTAATATTCAAATACTAGCCAATTAATGAAGATTAAACACAAGGGTATACATACTTTGAGTTGACATATATATGAAATTTGGTTGGAGAGTCTACAAAATATGGTTGTGATGTTTGACATTTGACCTCAACCATTTTGACATTAAAAGGGAAAAAAGAGTATGATTCATATTCCCTAACATTGGTTATATTCCTTGGCATTGGAATAACAGATGCTGTCAAATGAGTTAAAAGGTTACAAATGGAGAGATGATGTGTTCAACTAATGTGGAATGTGATGTTCTATTAAAGGCTATATAAGCTATTTGTTTTGGCTTCCTCTTTTGGTTGTCCAAATTCTTTGTTCTCTCAAATAAGCTATCAACATTTATGCATAACATGACCACAAATCTGCATGGAATTTATGCTTTGAAATTGACTAGGCAAGAGAATGGCATAGTTCTAATCAGTTTCTAGTGGTTTTTGAACTTCAATTCGCTTGAAATCTTCATTTGTTGTGTAAGGAATTGACAAAATTATAATTAATAGTTTGCATTTGTAATATTAATTAATAAACTTGTAGACTTACTCACCTTAATATTTGCAAAGTTCTTCCAAATATATAACTTGATATTTGTAGACTTACATAATTTGCATGATTCCATTATATGATGCTTTTGACACCATGCTTCACAAGATAATGGATGTTTATATTTAAGAAACCTCTATAAGATGGTTTATGTTTTCTCATATCTCCTTCGGTGAGGTTTGATCTTTCTATCCTATATAGGCTTCCACCTCATATGAGCAATCATTTTCTTAATCAAGAAATATTTTTTATAATATATAATATGATCTAAAAAGGACTATATGTAATGACACAGATTTAATTATTAAAAGAAAAATATTTGGTCTTACCCAGAGTTTGATTAATCATGCTGAGTATTGATATGACGGGGCATGCTGATGACACAAAAAAAAAGCTAAAAAAAACTTTCAAAATATATTAAAAAAACTTAGATTATGGTTTTATATTTGGAACTAAATGAAAGTTTATTTTAATTCATCAAAAAATATTTAAATTAAAAAAATAGCGATATATTTCTTTTTTATATTTTGAGGAGTAGTTTTGTGAGACGTCATTGACATTTCTATTGATATTGAATTATTTATAAATATATGACTTGAATTATTAGATTATAAGTTAAATTTTAATATTTAAATAAGTTAAATAATAAATGGATCGGTTGATAGAGCATTAAATATTAAAATGAATGATGAGACTTCACAAGCGATATATCGAGGTTATCAATCATATATATTTATATATCAATATATTATATTTGTTGGAGTCAATCTTAAAATTGCTCCTATAATATGGTATAGTGATACACCATATTGTCATGGACAAACTTCGAAACAGGATGTTTGATGTAATGCTTATGTATGTCCGTGTCTTTTGGCATGTTCATACCTTATACAACATGTAGAGGGGCAGCCGAAGGCTTAATAGTCCCATTTTAGTTGGGTTGGTGGCCTCTTTAGGCTTGTAAATAAAGGTTGTGTCATGTGGACACGTGTGAGAGATATTCGGTCTGTAATGGACCATTTTACCCTTTTTGTGCCACTGTTCAGAGCTTGTAAAAGTCTGTTTGTAATTTGCATTGTCTATAAAGTGTTTTTCGGAGATGTTTGCTTGTGGATCCCGATTGAGACGTTCTCTCTAACCCGTTCTCTCTTTTGGTGGTCCTAAGGGACAATGGGAGGCTTCGGGGAGACTGACCTTTGCGGACGGACACGCAAGGGTACCGTACGACTTAGGCAAAACAAGCTAAGTTCGTGACAATATGCTATTGACACGCCAATGTAGTAATGATTATAGCTTGAACGTCATGAAACACATATGTTTAAGGTAACTCTTAACACGAGTATGATTATGACATTGGTGTGGAGAGTGAAAAATGTCATAACTTCTACTTTTACCATTGATTTGTTGTTCTGTTTCATAACACCGATTAGCCTAAGAACAAAAAATAACTAATTATCGCTATACTATTACTAATTATAAGATCTACTATATTTTGATCGAAAGGGATCTTCCTCTTATTAGAGATATTATTTTTTTTCTTTTGAGTGATAAAATACAAAGGATGCGGAGGATCTTCCACCAAATGATCCTTTTAGTTCTCTATTGCTTTTGACTCATTCTAACATATTGTTATAGTATTAGAGGTCGATGGGATTACTCTTTGGTTTCTAGTTGATAGTCTATGATTAATTGATTGTCAATAATATATATATATATGTATGTATATGTATATATATATGTATATATATGTATATATA